ATATATATATATATATATATATATATATATATATATATATATATATATATATATATATATATATATATATATATATATATATATATATATATATATATATATATATATATATATATATATATATATATATATATATATATATATATATATATATATATATATATATATATATATATATATATATATATATATATATATATATATATATATATATATATATATATATATATATATATATATATATATATATATATATATATATATATATATATATATATATATATATATATATATATATATATATATATATATATATATATATATATATATATATATATATATATATATATATATATATATATATATATATATATATATATATATATATATATATATATATATATATATATATATATATATATATATATATATATATATATATATATATATATATATATATATATATATATATATATATATATATATATATATATATATATATATATATATATATATATATATATATATATATATATATATATTTTTTTTTTTTTGTAGGGGTAAAATATATAACATAATGGATCATATATATACGTAACATATATCTACATATTTGTAATTCTAATATTTTAACAAATGGCAATATTTTGACATGTATAACATATTTTATATATGTAAAATTCATATGAACTATTATGTCACATATGTAATTTGCATATATGTCTATATATCAGATTTCTATTTTGGGATTTTGTGTTACCATCAGTCTGGTCTTGTGGATTTGGTCACGGGTTCTCCTCTACATTTCAGTGGTGTTTTCATTACTCAGAAATCTTGGAAAGAACCTTCTGTCAATGTAAATCCAGGCCTGACATTGGTCTGCTGTGACTGGGCTTTCTTACAGTGATGTCAAATATATAAACATTGTCTGTAAAAGTGGTACACAGAACAAAGAAACCATAAATATGGACTAAGGATGAATAAAGAGGACATCTATAGA